CCAAGGCCGGGCAGGAGCCGGGTGGAGGGGGGCTGTCAAAACAGGGAGAGCACACCACCACACAGCCAGAATGCAGTGTCATAATATTACTTAGAACCAAAGTGAATGCATACCATCCTGAAATACAAAACACAAAGCATACGGGAGATAAGGGAAAACAGTGCATTATAACGTTCATTTATGAATTTTTCATTGACTTCTACTTCTTATAAATTTTCTTGCTCAGAACAACTCATATCAGCTATCATTTGTAATGCAACCTTTTTAAGATTTAGAGTTTAGGAAAAAGGGATGGGTCTTGGAAGCCTATTAGTGAGGCACTTTGCTCAGTTGTCACCATTTTCCTGGACTTTATGAGGCAGATTGGCCTTCTTCCGTATGAACACACACACACAAAGCCTGTTGGTGCTTAGAAGTAACATTTTTTGCATGATAGGTCGTAGCTAACAGGTTGGTTACAAAAGGTGCTGTTATTTTAGATTTTAGAGTGTTGTTTTGGGTTTTTTTTTCAACTTATTTTGATTTGGATCAATAACATCTGCTTAAGAAAGAAGGCAGCGACTATGTCAACACAGGAAGACAAAGATAGTATTATACCAATGTCTTCGAACAGGATCTTCTATACATTTTTTCAGTGACCCATAATTTGTTGAAGCCACTTCAAAGACTTCCCATACATGTAGTTAAGCTACATTGTAGAGAAATATTCCAGCAATTAGAGTTATTTATCTAGTTCATTATGCCATAGTTTATGTGAGAAAGAAAGAGAATATTCTATTAATGTTTGAGAGGAGGATGTATTGTTTGCTAGGTTGCTAGGTTGCAAGGATGATGTGGAAAAAATGGCACGAATATTTTATATTTTAATTAAAAATATCCTTTCTTCAGTTTTTTAAAAGAAAATGTGCAATTATTACCTTTCTTTTTCACACATACCTAGGGATCACATTCAGCTCAGGAACTGATATTAGGCTACTCAGAACACATGTGAAAAGAGGAGTGGGGAGGAGGGAAGAGCCTGGCCAAAGCAATGTTTAATTACAAGAAGAGTAGAAAGAAAGGAGAAGAAAGCTGCCCTCAAAGTGGTCATGCACAATATATTTTGTATTTAAATGAGATATAAAAAATAACCGCACCATTTACAAGACGTGAAAAGCTTAATATATGTAACTTACTTTCTCCATTCAGACGAGTAATACTCATTTTCAGTTTACACACTGAAAATTACGTAGAAGAATACTAATAGAATGTAACTAATACTTTAAAATGTTCTATATGCAATATTTAAGTGGAGCATTTAATATGATTATAAATCTTTGAGTTTAGTCATTGATGACCTTTAAAAAAGTAAAAATACCCTCTTATCAAAACATAGTTTGTAAAGTGCATACTATACTCAAAAATGCAAAACAATATGTATTTTCATTGATAAATTCAGGCCTTGATATACAGTGTGCGTTTTAAAACTCTAGAAATCAGCATTTTAGATACACTAGGAGGTACAACAGACAAAGCAAAACCTATATTTTCCAGGGTAAAGAAGGAATACTATCTGATCAAAGATGACAATATTTGTTTTGCTATTAGGAAAATGTCAATAAATTTCAATGTATTCCAGTTTCACATCGCATACAGTTTCACATATTATTCTGATATTTAAGCTAAAGAAGTCACCTTTCACTATCATTGAAAGAAAGAAAAGACTTTGGACAATTCTGGATCTACTTAGTTGGGTCAGCTGTGTGATTCATGCAAAGGTTGCCGAGCAGTGAGTGGTACGCATAGATATGTGTTCTTGTGCTTCTGTACTCCCTCTGGGGTACACATCCTTAGGCACCAAAGGAAGATTTCTGTGTAAAGCCTTTGGTGCCTAGAAAGTCTAAAATGTCCAAGAATGGTAGAAGAGGTTATTTGGGGTCTTTATTGGCAAAGTAGGCACTTAAATCACATCTCCACTATTAAGTAGGAGTGGAGAGTGACTACTCTTTGGTCTACCAGCTGGCCCAACATGGCTCAACTCTAAACATCTACATTTTTCCCTTTTTCTGCAAAGAACTGCATGGCCATATCAAAACTGCTTAGTGGGGGAGGTGCTTGGAATATACCTTTCCCCAGACAATGGCTGGGCACTGAGAGGTAGGAGTTAGCACAAGCCAAAGCTGTGGAAAGAGTGGTCTAACAGCTTGACACTATGGGTGGGCCTTTTCTAGTACTCAAATCTGGCTTTGACCCTATTTTTTTGTTTTTCCTTATCCAGATGTGACTTAAATTTCCACCTCAGCTGCACTTCGAGTATTCAAGGGTTAAATTTATGCTTTTCCATGATGTTCACTTCTCCAACCACTCTCATTCTTTCATGCCATTTCTCAGGCCTGAAAAAGTCATGGGAAAATGGAGGATCTTTGTGGGAAGTGCTGAAGACCTGCATCTCCTGTCTTCTAGGCTAGTTCTACAGGACACCCTGAGGGTTTCACCTACTAATTCTTGGGTATCTTACAATGTTCTGCCGACATATCTTGTCCCACAAACCTGAAGTTTCTTTTGAAGAAACCAGAGATCAGGGTAGGAAGGCTGACAAGTATCAGCATCTCACCCTGAAGAAGGATATGACCTAAGTTCATATCCAGACAAAACTTAATTTCCAGGAAGTCTCACTGGCCAAAAAGGAGCAAAATAAGGGCCATTATATTAGAAATCCCAATATAGATTGCAGAAACGGTTGAAAGGGGATGCAGAGTGGGAGACAGTTCTCTGAGAATAGATCTCAGGCAGGGGTACTCTCATGTATTCTTTAAAAATATGTATGCATTCTTTAAAAATATGTACAAGTGTTCAAATGAAATTTTGAGCCAAAGATGTTGACTTGTGAATCATAGCAGGAAGATGATGTGTACAAACTGAGACTGGATATGTAAAAATGTTCACAGAAGCCTATGATCACATTATTTACTTCTTCTCTTGAATAAATGTTTGTTTCTTGTCTTCCTTAAGTAGGCACATGGGTTTGCTCGTTTTCGTGTTTCCATATACAGTGTTCTGTTCAATACACTTCCTATCAACCAATGTACATTTTCAAATATGATTCATAAATCAGCTTACTACTCTTAGATCTATTTTATGAAGAGAAAATGTGGATTCATACTGAACAGATCTACCGTGTTAGTGATCAGGAAGGAACATCTGTGAATATTTATTTGTTATTAGAGCCAACACTCCTGCCTCCAACCAATAGACTATGTTCAATGACTAATTAAAAATGGAAAAACAATTACGTTATTTCTTTTATTGCTGCAAGTGTCAATATGAACCTGAAGCATTAAAAATGGGGGGGGGGGGGGGAGGGGGGGGGAAACCGAAAGCAGCCCCTTCCCCGGAGGGGGGGGGGGGGGGGGGAAGGAGGGGGGAAAGGACAACACATAGTCAACCCAGAGAAAACCTCTTGCTGTTTAGAAGTTTATTTAAGAACAAAAAGTGCACCCATTGCTTAGTCTTCCTTCTCATTTAACATTTACTGTGGATAAGAAACCTTTGTAAGCAATTAAAATTGAATTTGCAATGAAAAAAAAAGTGTTTTATGAAGTGTAGTAAGCAAATGCTACTATAAAAAGATAATCACAAGCCATAGATTATTAATAGAGGCTTCACTTTATCACCTAGCAATCTTTCCCATACCTGCCACAATTGCAAAGAAACTAAGATAAAAGTTTCGTGACTCTGGGACTAATATATTGAAATTAATTATATGACTTAAACTGCTACTGACACTAATAAAAATTATAAACTAGACTGAAACACACTGAAATCAAACCAAACTCTCAGATAGATGGCTTTCTTTAGGTGTCAGTTTTTGAATTTTCCATGCTAAAAATTTAATCTAAGTTTCCTTTTTTATTAAAAACAGGTCTAGGAAGAAGGAAAAAAAAAAAACAAACAGTTGACTACTGCTTTTCAGTCTGTGAAAAGGAAAGGTTGTTACTAAGATTTTCAGATATTCTGAATGAATACAAAAAAGGATTATTTATATTTTTTTGTATATAACACCTAGATAGCAAGTATCTAGCCAGTAAATACTTCAAAACAAGTAAGTCGAAAAAAAAATGGGAAACAAGCAAACCTCTGTGTACTCAGTCATACAGGTTTTTCATCACCTTTGTAGCTTCATGTCCAATATATTTTTTTATGATCACACATGAAACTTTTCTGTGTCCAAAAAGATAGTTTAATTATGATAACAAAGACCAGTGCTCAGAAAATAATAGGCAAAAATCCCTAAAATCAACATGTTTATTTTGCTTTTCTGTTTAAATGGTAATAATAGTTGCAATAATCACAGGTCCTGCAGCCATGGCTACATAGCATAAGATAACAGCATCTTTAATGTGCTTTTTTTAGCTCCCAAATTTAGATGTCGGTCCTCGCTGTTGCAGATTTATCCCCTAGTCTACAGCTGTTGGTCTTTAGGTACCCTAATGTGTGTTTTAATGTTGTGGATTGGATAAGGTTTTATTTGAAGGGAAGCAGCACCATCTATTGCAACTTGATAGCTTAGCTCTATATGATATAAAGAGCAGAGCTGGCCTGAACCCAGTTTTAAACTCTTTCTTGCACTTATTTTCATAAGTTTTTTTCCCAGACCAGCTTCAAATGAGGTTAGGATCTCAGTTTGTATACAATCAGGTACAGGGACAAGCGTGTGTGGCATGTACACGTGTGTCCAATAAAAAGCTGCATCTAAGACACTTACTTGTTTACAAGCTAAGATAAAATAATAGCATAAGCCTAGCCCTGACTAACTGTTGCTTTTGAGTGACCTGGCTAGAGTTTTCTTTTCTGAAATGCAAGAATAGTCAAAAGTTAAGATTATGTTTTACCCAGCTGATATTCTCTAAAAATTTTCTTTCCGAAGCAGCGTTAATGTAGGTGTGTAGTGCAGTATGTTCTTCTAATAATGACAGTGCTGTTGTCATCCATCTATACTTCTGGTTCTTCTCTTTTTCCAGACTGTCTACAAAGCCTGGCTCTGTTCCCAGTATTTTGAAGTCACACAGTTTCACTGCAGCAACAGAATTCCTTGCAAGCAATACTGTTTGGAGGTTCAGACGAGGTGTCCCTTTATATTACCAGACAATGATGATGTCATCTATGGAGGACTATCAAGTTTCATCTGTACAGGTATTGTATAGAAAAACTAATTTCACTTGTTTTCATAAGTCTAAATGTGAAGGAGAATGTCAATAATGTTTTTTCCATTAGGTCTAACTAAGAGAGCCTGAAGGTATTCCTCGTCACAAAGAGTTCTCGGAGGTGCTAGGATTTGAGCCCAGATTTACTAATGCACATTCATGCTACAGCTTGCCACAGTCATTAACTTTACAAAGTAAAATTACTAGAAGAAATTTGTTCTGGTTATTTTTTACGCTTAATAATTTGATGGAGGATTTTTCCTGTTCTGTGTCACGCAGTGCTCAGTGAAAAGAAACTAACTCTATGTTGTGCGATATTCAGGAAAAAAAAATAAAGGCAATACCAATTTCTAGTATATTCACCTTTGTTCACCTTCATTCTTCTCTCAGATAAACAAAGAATCTGAGCCATAGCATTCACAACAGTGCAGCACCTCTTAGAAGGTAAATGTCTAAGGAAAAGTCTTTCACTAGTGAAGAGTTTTAAGAATTAGTCGTTCCCCTTTGAAGAGCTGATCTTTTGTTCTGTTCTTGTTTTGTTACATCCTTGTTATGTTTTAAAAGGTATTGCTGTCATAGAACTATGCATTTATTGGTGAGATGGTTTGATTCCTTTTACATTCCATTCTGCTTCAAAGATTATCCAAGAATGATCTGACTAGAGTGGACATACTAGGCAAGAAATACCTTCAATAAATCTCAGGTACCTCAGATAGTTTTTTCAGGACTGATTGGGAGTCATCCAAAAAAAATTCATCTTATATCAATGTTATCTGCAGATTTCTGGTGCCTAGGGTATCATCTGAGAATCTTGAAGGTATTTAGAAAACTTATTCCACAAAATCAGGAAAAAGGCATTTCAACACTTAGATTGTTTGTCAGCCTGGTCCAAATATCAGAAATTAGACAACCTCCAACTTAAATATGGGTTGCACTGGAAAGTTTAATAATAAATGAGCTGCCCAAGCTGAGCTAGCTAATAACAGAGTAAAATATAAAACCCCATAAATGCTGTACACTATCTCAGACATAATATTTGTGACAACTCACGTCACCTTACACACTGTGTTTGGATTTAGGAGTTTCTACTAGAAATATATTTACTGAATTTCTTCTTGAAGAACATAATCAAGCAATACCCGTCTATATGCAGAAGATAGTATAATGAAATGTAAGCTGAGTTACAATTTGGTGGTCATCAATAAGGTAATGGAGCTTAGCACTTTAATGCATTTAGTAAATATTAATAGTCTTCCAATATGCATACAGAGTAAGAAAATTAGGATTATTTTCCAGTTTAAGATAGGACAGTAAAAGCTGAAGTGAGATATTTAGGACATTTTTATTTACAATGTATACAATACATATATGTGTGTTTGTGCATGTGTGCACACTTGCATACATACACAGTAGCAAAGAACAATAAACAAAGCCATCTTAGAAATTATTTTGGAAAATCTCTAAGGAAATACATACCCATCTCTTAATTTTCCTTGTATACCTCCAAGTTCAAATTCATTCCTAAAATACAAAATAGATGACTTTGCAAAGATTACTAACAGTCAATATCACTGAGTTTTGGTATAAAAGCTGATTTAGGGGAGGATTAAACTCATTTTATTGCAAGTATTAGTAGTGTCTGTATCTGCACACACTCTGTGACTAAGCACTCACTAGAGTCATTGAAGATCTGGTCTAGTCAATATAGCTATTTAATTTAACCTAAGTAGACACCTGCACCCAATAAGCTGACTAGCTCTCTATGCCCCACTAACAGGACTGGCTGCAATCTATTTGCTGTAGCTGCTGTTAGCCACCAAGGTCTTATTGCAGACATTTAAATCAGGGTTACCTGAACCTCATTTCAACAGTCCACTAACTAATATTTGGTTGAACTTTGTGTCCACTCAAGTCAAGACCCTCAACATCAGCAGAGCTTGTATTCACGGACCCATAAGAGTCAGCATCCTGACTGATACTGGACAGTTGTGTGCAAGAGAAGTTGCTGAGAGATCCAAGGTTGCAATTCAAATTTTGTCTGGAATACAGTCCCATTGCCACCCTCTTGTTAATCAGCAACTCACTGTATGAGCACTTCTTGCCACTAAACAATGAGAAATTAGACTAATATTTGCTGTGGGACTAAAAAATTACACTTCTCAGGAGCTTAGCAAAACCAGAATGATTTAATGCAAAGTACAACAAGTTCAACAGCAGACAAAATACTGTACTTCACCATAGCTTGCAGCTTGTCAGTTACCTTTTGCAGAAAAGCAACTGAAATCAGGATGCCCACATCTTGAGGGACCTCTTCTCCTGATGCACTCTCCGTGAGCTCCTGTTTGGCAGACACGTTCTGGAATTTTTGGGGTGGGTGTAATACATTGGCAAAACCCAAAAAAACTTCAGGTCAAAGGTATTTCTTTTTTTGATATTTAGGTGTTATAGCTGGCTGTCTAGTGTCTCCATTCAACCTAAGTTCACTGTGAAGCTGGTCACCATTAAGCTCCGCTATAGGAAACATAGCAGGAGCAAACTCTGCATTCAGGGATTCCTCATGAACGGCAATTTGCCAGAGCCCATCACTCATTTAAATTAGATTTGAATATCTCTGATGCTCCTGACTTCAATGGTATCCTATAGAGACAAATACTGCAGGTCTTTTTTTAAATTTTTACTTATATTTTCAGAGACATCCACAAGGAACTGAATTAGGTTAAGTTGGTATATTTTTCCCCCCATGAAACTAATGGAAGACTAGCTGTCTAGTGAAGGAATGTTGTTAATTATAAAATATTGTCTGGAGGAAAAAAGGAGCCATCCTGTTTATAGAAGGATTTATCTTTGAGAAAACTCAAGAATTTGTGGATTCTGATCTTCTTTAATAATGTTTTAGAAGCAATAGTTTTATAATAAGGGCTTCCCTTCCTCCTCTCCATGGTAACAGACTATTTCCTCTAAGGTCCAGCAGAGATTTAGGTTAATGGAAAGACAGAGGATTGATTTCTATAAAACATTTCAATACACCATGGAAGGCAACTAACAGGAAAGGGTGTACCAGAATCACAGAATCACAAAATCACAGAATCTCATGGGGTTGGAAGGGACCTCCGGAGATCATCTACTCCAACCCCCCTGCTAAACCAGGTCCACCTAGAGCAGGTTACAAAAGAAATTATCCAGGTGGGTTTTGAATGTCTCCAGAGAAGGAGACTCCACCACCTCTCTGGGCAGCCTATTCCAGTGCTCTGCCACCCTCAAAGTAAAAAAGTTCCTTCTCATGTTTAGATGGAACTCCTTATATTGACATTTGTGCCCATTTCCTCTTGTCGTATCCCTGGGCACTACTGAAAAAAAAGACTGGCCCTGTCCTCTTGACACACATGCTTTAAGTATTTATAAACATTGATCAGTTCCCCACCTCAGTCTTCTCTTCTCTAGACTAAAAAGAACTTCAGCCTCTCCTTACAAGGGGGATGCTCCAGGCCTCTAATCATCTTTGTAGCCCTCTGCTGTACCCTCACCAGCAGTTGCCTGTCCTACTTCAAGTGGGGAGCCCTGAACTGGACAAGGTACTTCAGATGGGGCCTCACCAGGGCAGAGTAGAGGGGCAGGATAACCTCCCTCAACCTGCTGGTCACACTCTTCCTGATGCACCCCAGGATGCCATTGGCCTTCTTGGCCACAAGGGCATGGTGCTGGCTCATGGTCATCTTATTGTCCACCAGGACTCCCATGTCTTTCTTCTCAGAGCTGCTCTCCAGCAGGTCAGCCCCCAACCTGTACTGGTGCATAGGGTTATTTCTCCCCAGGTGCAGTACTCTACACTTGCCTTTACTGAAGCTCATCAAGTTCCTCTCTGCCCAACTCTCCAGCCTGTCCAGGTCTTGCTGTACGGTGGCACAGCCTTCTGGTCTGTCATCCACCCCTCCCAGTTTTGTGTCATCAGCGAACTTGCTGAGGGTACACTCCATCCTCTCATTCAGGACATTGATGAATATATTGCAGAGGCCTGAACCCAGTCCTGACCCCTGGAGAACACCACTTGTTACAGACCTCCAACTAGAGGTCACTAGTGGTGAGCAGCAATAACGCAGAGGTGTGTTGCATTAGTTTCTTCCAAAACCAGCATGGCACCCTTTATTATTTCTTTAGAGCGGTGTCATCAGAACGAGCATACAGCCACTAAGAGGAGAATCAAATTTGTCTATTCTCTTGTGCTGAACAGACTTCTGAGACTTTTCAATGGAGAAGGCGAAAGTAAGGGTAAAGACAAGGTGAGAGGACAGGTGATTCAGGTGCTTTGAAGCACTTATATCTTTCCATTCGGTTTGTATTAATTTAGGTTCCTATTTTAATGTGTTCTGATTAACACCTTAGTTGCTTGGAATGCATGATGTGAATATTCTCTCATACATTAATTTTTGGCAAATATCACTAACATATGCTTATGTGATCCATGCAAAGCACTTCCTCAGAAACTCCTCCTCCTTTGGAGAAGAGTATTCAGCAGAAAGGTAACAGTCAGTCATATTTCATAGCACACACTAATGTTTCTAAGGACGTAGTGAGAATTATTACAGAGAATTCTCACCAACCCGTAGAAAGGGTTTGTTGACTAACAAAGTTCAACAAAGGTATTGGGAACAATTCTCTTAACTGCATCTTCTTCTCAAGGGACAGATGCGTGTCTGGGTTTCACCAGCAGGTTTAGCTATAGAGTGCCTGTTTCAAAACAGATGCCCTGATTTCAGTGCAATTCGAAAAGCAATTTCCTTGAGAAAATGTGATATATAGGATGCATCACAATCTATCTTTTCTTTGTAGAACAATTCAAGAAGAGAAGAAATCTCTTAATTCAATCTGCTTTATGTTGTTCTTGGCAAACTCCAAAAAATACATACACTTTATCCAGATTATTACTCTAAAAATAACTTGTAATAATGTGTCATTTGCCTCCTGCCTACACCTCTTATTAGATCCTAAAATATCAAAATATTAAGCTAACACAGACAGCAGGACAAATCCCATTTATGTTTGACAAGCATGGCTTAAATCGTTGCTAGCTATGGATCTGCTTACAAGGAAAATTTGACATGGTTTTGCAGCAGAATCTGTCAACTAAATAGTTCTTCCTTTTGAGTTCAATGTTATTCATCTTGAGTATTAGGACTTTCCCATTAATGCGGTCCCATATTATAATAGGTTTATTAGCTGCAAATGTTCTTCTCCTATAAAAACAACCCAGGTAATTAGCCTGGGTTATCCCTAACTTTCTATGGCAACACAGTATTTAGATATGTATGACCCTTTCCTTTCCTATCATATCAAAGTAGTAAATCCTTTTGATCAAAAATTGTACATAATAGAAACAAAACTAGAGGGTGGGGATGGGGAAAGCCAAGTGCTTGCTAGAAGCCAGTTTTCTCACCCTTATCCTGTGTCTCAGCGTAGAAGAGCTGAAAAGGTTCATTGTATAGCCTTAAGAGTCACCTATTTGCTTATGTTTCTGGCTTGCAACAGCTCAGTCAATTTTACAGGGATAATGATGCTTTACACTAACAGGAGGAAATTGGTCCTGTATGTTTTTTAGGGAAAAAAAATCCATGCACAGTGAAGAAACACAATAAATATTTCTTAAATATGGACACACACAAAAGGAAATGTTGCAGAGGCAACTATTTGAAATAGTCACTAACTTATAATGATGAAACAAAATTAAAGTACAGCAACCCAGACCTCATCCAACATTTGGAATGGAGTCTGAAATGGAAATTAGCCCTTTCAAAAGAGCTGAACAGCCTTATCCACCAGTTTAAGAATAATCTGTTTTACTAAAGAATTATTTATTTATCTTTAAGCCTTCTTCTACATTTCATTTTATTACTTTTTACAATATGAAGGGTATAAAATACATGCCTAAACAGCAGACTCATAATGTGTCACAGACACAGCAATTTAGAAATTGAGAGGACCATCTGCATAAGATCAAAGAGAGCTGGCTTCCATATCAGATGTAAGCAGTGAAATCTAGTCATATAATATCTAATGTGTTCTCTTGCCTTCTGTAGTTGGAAAATGTTAATATTGAAGTCTCAGAAATAATTCCTCAGAAAGAGAAATGTCATGCAGAGTGTTGGCATATACTAGCACAGTGATGTCACTGCTGGATGGATCACTCTTGGCACACATTATTTACTTTGTGCTGCACCAAAAAAAAATGGAGCATTAGAAACTCCTGCTATACTACATCCACCTATCGAGTTTCTTCTAGTTCATACTCTTTTCTTCAAGCCCAAGAAGCATGGTATGCCTCTCAAAATAAACAGAAACCTACTTTGAAAAGAACCACAGTTTAGAATCATACAAAAGAAAATGAGGAAAAAGCATAACATAACAAAATATCTGTTTTGTTTCTGTGGCTTTCCAAAATACTTATCCGATGACAGCAAATATATCAACAAGATTTAGTTTCCTTTGATGGTGACTGGAAGATGCAGAATAATATGGCTTCATAGCTCTTTCTGTAACAAAGAAACCAAGAAGTGGGCCAAGCCAGACCAGCTGCTACAGATACAAATCCAGCTACAAGCATGGCACATCCTGACAGTGTTGGGGTGAGATGTGGAAATGCAACCACCTCTTTTGCATGCTGTTCCACTGCAAAAGAAATGCAAGTGCTCAGGCAGAAACAACAGCATTCTCTGAGTTAGTTGGTGATCTAGCTGATCAGCAGAATGTGCATCCATGAACAGTGATTTTAGTTCTTGACTAAGAGCATATTGGCACTTTGCTGTTTTTCGCCCGAAGCTGTTTCTGCACAAAGTGAATACGATGCTCATGCTGTCACTCCTTTTTCTTTCAGTATGATTCAGCTGAGCAGGATACACGGGATTTATCTACCGTCATGTTGCCATTAACATAATCTCAGTCAAACGAGTAGCCTTAATTCTTGCATCAGCATTAGTAACACACACTCCCTACAGATACAACTGCTGTGCTGATTATCAAAAAGTTATCTGTGTGTGAAAAAAGTAGCTGCTTACAAAGCAAAGAGATAGCTTTTACATGACCTTCGTGAGTTATAGCATATCTATCTGGAGAATGGTTTGATACCAAAAAGTATCCTAGCAAATTCTAGATGCTTGATTAAGATAAGATCAGGGTCCAAGAACTTTCGTATTGACCAGGAATTCTGCAGGTGAAATATAGGTGAGTGCTGGGAAAAGTTGGAACATGGAGATCCAGAGCTGAGAATTTGAAGTGAAAAGTGAGAAGCAAAATAGGTTTTGAGCCAGTAACAGTTGGTAAGTTAATCTCAGAAATATAACTACTGAATATCTAAATAACACAGAGTAACGAAGTCTACAAGCTGAACAAGAGACAGAAGAGGAAAAGAGTAGTTTGGTGGGTAGAGGAATCCTTTCTATTCCTATCCTGACCTCTGTGTCCATATGAAATATTTTCCTAAAAGAACAAAGTAGGGTTTTTTTTTCTCCATGGTTTTCCAAGGTTGATGTAGCCAGCTTTCCAGGGTTTCTGGTAAGTCGTGGGTTCATAGTCCTCTGACTGAGTTCCTGAGTGATTAGATCCACGGGGCCAAAACTTGATACTCATGGCTACAAATGAGTAAGTTGTGAAGCACAGTTGTGAAGTTTTATTACTTCAGTGCAAAAGCTGCACAAGCTCTGACTGAATTTATCTAAATGTTTGGCAGTTGTCATATGAATAATAGTTCTGTAGTTAATTGATTATTAAATATGTAACTGCAAATTCAAAACCTAAATTTAATTGCTGAATTGAAATAAAGAGGAAATGTAATTTTGCGTTAAGGAACAAGTTCAACGCAGCTTTGAATGTGGAGTCGTCTTCAATTTATTTATAATTCAGTAAGTACATATGAACTATTTAAATGCCTTTTGATTGCCAACTTGTATATGTAGGCTTTGATTTCAAAGGCAGTCTGGGCTTTCTTATAACAAGAAAGGCAGGAAATACAGTTTGAATAGTAAACAAGCCTCAGTGGGATCAAAGCATTAACCATTCTCTGTGTCTCTTCAATTACCACTAATAGTTTGAGCTACTGCAGTCACAGAACAGATCGTATAATTACCTGCTTTGGGAGGCACTTCCTGTATGTTACCATGTTTAAAAACACAGTTATGCACACAAACACCAACAGATGGGTCTCAGAAAACATGATGTTGGCAATAAGGTCACCTTATTATACTTTCAACAAACAACAGTCCACAAGTTCCAAAATGCAACAGAATTTCTTAAAAACATGAAGTACATTCAATGATGATCTGAGAGAGAATAAATTTCAAGTGTTTGTATGCTGTCTTAAGTATCTCACTGCATAGGTGCAAAAGTGGTCTAATTTCCTACAGAGTAAACCCTGACATTGCAGAAAATTAAACAAGTTCTTCTCATTCCTCTATCTTTAAATCCAAAAATAGAAGCAACTTCACTTGGACTCATGTACAACACAGTAGCCTGTTGTGTCAGCTATGTGAAAGAGTGCCAGTCTAGGTTTAACCTGCATTTTAACGTGTTCAGCATACCTAATATACTTAGTGTTTAGTTGCAGATCAATATTATGGAAGTAGGCATGAAAGAGATCCATTTTATCTTATTTTAAGGTGTGCTGCTTTTCTTTGCAGGTTATTAAAAAAATATAGGCTGTCCGGTGCCTGAACCTAAGAATATTTAGTCTCAACTTGTAGGCATTGCTTTTGAAAGTAATATTTTTGCTGTGATACTTTAGATAAAATATAATTCTTGTTCCAAAAAGCAAAGTTAATTTGTAAATTATGGTAATTATGTAGCTGCTTTCAAAATCTTTATCCTAATATTCAACACAGATTATTTTTTTCCTAGTAAAACCTAGCACTACCATAGAGTAATTATCTACTACAAAATTTATTCCCAGATTAGTTTAAATGGATAAAAGATCCATTATTTTAGACATTCTTGCATTTGACCATTAGTTAAATTGGCTAAATTAAGTTATTTTATTTTATCAGAAAAAAAAAAAGTGTGTGCGAAGTAAACAGAGCACTCTGGTTATGTTAGTCTCCTATATAGTAATGCAGACAGTATTGACAATTTCCAAAAAGAGAGTTGTGTCTTTTGGAAGACAGAATTTCTCCAACTGTTCAAAAACTGATAATCAGATCAGTTACTCAGTAAAGTTCTAAGGGCAGAAATAGCCTAGATGTGTAGTCAGAAATATCATAACAATTATTGCATGACACGGAAAGATTGTTGTCACCTCTGGGATATGCCAAAGATAATATCCCAGCTGGAAGAACTCGTCTGAGGTAGGGTAAACAAGTAGACTCTGAACAGCTCTGTTTGGAAGCTCTTCCTGTGAAGCTGTTGGATCTGTGTTGGTTAGCTAATCAGTATTGTCAATATTGTTAATATATCAATTATTTGTTATTTAATGCCTATCTTTTTACGGACAATGACATTACTGGCATGTACTCGCAGACTGAGGAAGAATTTCAAGACCCTTTCAGATTTGTGGAAATGTCCAGTTTGATTAGTTATTACTTCATCATTGGATGTTACGTCCCAAAAAGAAAGAATTCAAATATCTTTATCATTCAAGCATCAATAATTACTTTCTGACACTGGTTCATTACAACCATGCTCAGTATCATACTTCTGTTGAATGATTTTTGATGTTGCTTCCTGTTAGATGATGCATACTCCTTCAACAACTCTAATTATACAAAATGCAAGCATTTTGGAGGGCCTCAGGCTAACCTAAAGCTGTGGATTTGATAGCTTAGACTAAACTGTTGACTGTTCCTTTAACCCACCAACTTCTCTTGTGCCAATCTTTTTGTGCCTGATGCTTATTATTTTTTGTGTTTACCCCACAGGGCTCTATGAAAACTATCCAACCAATGCAGAACCAGAATGCTGTGATGTCAGATGGGGACTATTATCAGATCATCAATCCAAAGGGACTATAAAAACAAGTGGCTCAACAATGTGTCACAGGACATCGCTCACAGTTTCATCAGCATCAAGACTGTGTAACAGCAGACTTAAACTGTGTGTTCTTGTATTAATACTCTTACATACAGTACTTACAGTCTCAGCAGCACAGAACTCAACAGGACTGGGCTTTGGAGGCATAACAACTTTGGAAGATAATTCAACCAATGAGGAATAAAAGGATTCATCTTATATGATAGAAACACAACAGGCCCAAATGACTACAGGCAAAAATAGCAAGGACTGAGTGTTCTACCCTCAGATCTCTTCTTGAATGACCCTTTGGGTAAAATTAAAAGAATGGGCCACTACCCAAACAACAAGGACACATGAACACAGCTTTTTATTGACTAAAAGGCTGTATGGTGACTTAAATTTCTCACACCATTTTATACACTGTGTTTTAATGTTTGGAGTTTCTTTTTGTTTGTTTTTTGCACTTGTTAATACAGGATTTTATTTTTGGGACAGTTTCTCAAAGCTAAATTAAGTCTTTTCTCTGTCAATATATTTCTAGTCATTGTGTGTGTTCATCTGATAGTTCTGTCTTTTATGTCCTGTCAGTTTCTATTAGAGGAATGACTGCTATGATTCCATGACATAGCAAAAAAAAAAAACAAAAAACAACAAAAAACCACAACAAAAAAACCAAAAAAAAAAACCACAAAAAGAAGAACAAAACAAAATTTAAAAAAAAAGGCAAAAAAAAAAGCAAAAAAAAAAAAAGCAACCACAAAAAATCCCAAACAAACCTAACTGTCCTCTTACCCATGGGAACCATTCATCTCCTTTCCCTTCCCATTTCCCTTCGCAGACAACGTGCATTTGCTTCTGTCTGTGTAATCACAATGAATGGGTACACAGTTCCAGTGTGCCTCTGCCACCGTTGCACAAACCAGTTGACTGAGCAAACCCAAAAGGAGCATGAAGGGGGTTCCTTTTAGCTGAACAAACAAGTGCTCTCCTTACAAGGTGGGATCGGACAGTTAAAAATGTAAAGAAATACATAACAAACTGTTGCTCCAATACCCATTTTGAAGAAGTCCAGTCCTTTCTCACTGGTCAGTTGAACAGGAGCAGCCTTTTTTTCAGATATGCTATGTAAAACCAGTTATGCTCAGCAAGTTGAGTAGTTGGGAAGCCTTCATATTGGAGGTGAAGGATTGGCATTCATTGTGAATTACGTTTTGAGTTCTCCTGCATAACCAGCAGCTTTCCATGAGGAACGGGAGCAAAGAGCTTCCAAAATCCAACTGTTTTTGTCTCAAAAAAACTACACTAGAAGCCTTTGAGCATCTATAATACAAAGTATCTCTTTGTTTTGATTCCATTGTTTTTCTAATATCTACGTGTTGTTGAAAGTTACTCTAGTTATTAAGGGTGCACAAGAATGTGTTAGCACAGATAAAGAAACTATTTTGTTTTAAATATATAGGACAACCGTTTTCATAAATGTGCAATAAAAACAGTAAAGATATACTAGGATATGAGTAGTCAAGAGAAAAGATTGTAATTTGATTGCTGATTTTTCATTGTTTGGGTGGTTTTTAATTTGTTTACTTTTATTTTTGTGGGAACATTTCACCTGCTGAGTGTATGAGAATTTGCTTTTTAAAAAGGCTTTTTAGAGTTTACAGTAGAATCAATGGAAGGAAAAGTTAATAAGGGCTGTTTTTAAAAACTTTACATTCCTTCCTATTCTCTAACTACACTTGGGAAGTGCACTTTAGAGATGTTTGCTGTGTAGCTGGGAGATGAAGGAAAACTATAGGAAATGTTCTCTTAGGAAATAAAATATAGTTACCTACTTTCTAGCTATGAAATACCCCTTGATAAATATTAATGTTGTAAGAACATTTAATCACTGGTGCATAATGCGTTTTTGTATACAATTTATGGTCTGTTAAATTCTGGAGAAAAGCAAAAAGAAGACAACCATACTGCTTAAGCGGTTCAAGATGCACATGTTAAGCTGCGAAAGCTCAGATATCTTAAAAGAGTATTTGTTTTGATAGTGTTTTACAACAACCTGGACTGAGGAGCCTAAAATGACCTGTGCAAATATGACAACAACAAAAAGCACCAGCTAATGCAAAATTCTTCACCACTGGTTTGTTTCTATAATGCCTCCCTTCCCTTCCTTGCACATGCTATATTTTGTTCAATAAAACATGGTGCTTTTTAGTTATTTTATTTTCTGCTAGAGGCACATGTATTAATTATATTGAATTGATGCAAAAAGTGGGGGAAAATGTAGAAATGCAAATGAAAAAGCCTTAACTAATGGTAGAATGTAGACTTTTGAAAGGACAGAGATGTTATTGAAAAGTGTTGGAGCAATAACTGGGCAGTGCTCTGGTACTGTACAACAGCTGATGAGTCACGCTACTGAGAAAGCTCTTACTAGGTGAGCTCTTGTTCAACTGACCTCTTAATTCTAGTAAGTGTACATGGTCAGTAAACAGTTTGTTATAACCTTTATCTACCTCTGCTGTGCAAAGGCCATCCAACATCTATTTCTGTGATGTTCCTCATAGTTTTTTGTTCACACCATTACTCACTGTCATCTATTTTTACACTGTACCAATACAGTAGCAACTCTGGTTCATCCCAGTTGAATTGGCACATGAAGAAGAGTTATTATTTCTGGTTTGCCTCATGAATTAATGTAGAAAGCTACCTTTAAGTAATTTTCTTTCTTCTTTCCTGCTCTTCTTCATCCTTCATCCCCTATTTTTCTATAAAAATGTTTTCAAGTGGTGTCAGTGAAATATATGACTCCTCCACTGCTTGGCTACATTTGATCACGTGTCATACAATATGAGAGACACATGAGGAAAAAGAGTGACAACACCATCACGTGCATAAAGTAGCCAAATTAAACTTGGGCAAAATGAAGCAGAAAATAATTACAGACTTTCAGTTATTACACAAGTACAAGATGGAATAAATTCTTGCCCCTCTCTTCACCTGGAGTCAGTGCCTGAAGTTCAATGTTCTGTGAATTTTCTCTGTCATCTTTTTGAGGTCTATTTCTTTAATTTTTGAAGCAAAAAGTCATGTTGCAGAGGTGACTACTGCTGGGGTATCTGTTGCCATTTTCACTCCGGCAGTGTGGTATGCAGCTTCTCTTGGGGGCACCTGGGATATCAGGAGTAGAAAAAGACTCTTATATGAAGTTAAGCAACACGCAATCATGTATGATGCAAAATTCCATTCCATCCATTCCTCATTCGTAATAGTTTTCCTGGCACAAACTTAAGCATGCTTGATATTGTGCACATATTACTTTTTTGCCAGAATAAATTTGCATTTTGCCACTGCTATAACTGCCATCTTGTTCCATTTCTCCTTGTACTGTATGCCTAATACATACATGATAAAGAGCTGGCTTAACACAGAAGTAATACTAAAATATTTCTGCAAATGACTGATGAGAAGAAAAAGAAACAATGGAACAATATTTATTTAATGATCATATGAAAGAGAGAAATTTCCCATGTCTTTTATCGTCTTATTTTCTGCAATAGGGAAAATCCAGATTTTGTGCAATATGTTAATACTGCTAAGCCAAATGTCATATAACATAACCAGAGCTATATGTTATTCCTTATTGCATTTGCATTCGGTAATACATTATATTGACGCTTTTCTTTGATTAAAGAAACAGTATCTTTTTTTTTGAAAATATAGCAGGTGAAGGCTGTCCTTCTGCACACCATAATCTAAAGACAAAAACCAACAAAACATTCAAATGAAGTTTTAGTTCTATAAATGATGAAACAAAGCCATCAGCTGCCAAAGAATCTGTGGAACAATAGATACAAACCTAACAAACTTTCAAGAAACTCCTTCTTGAGGGTTAAAAATAACGTTACTCTAAGTGATTAAAGGAGAAGGAATGAGACCTGTATTTCAAACAGCAGAGATGGCAGGTTTCATCTGGTATGTGATGTGGCGCTCAGTTTATATAGTTATACTCTTCTATTAAAAAGCGAGAGACAAAGATGTTGTCTTCTGCTCTCTCCAAATTTGTTACAATAATGAATGGTTTTTTTGTAAACATTGCCTCTCTGCACAGAAGATACCTGCTTATCGTGAGAGCTGAAGACACCTTATGTACATGCACACAAAGTTACGCAGTGAAACCTGTCTTACGCGACTATCCAAAGCACAAGCAAAACTTGTTTGCAGAGTAGAGGTAGCTTTAAGGAAAGTTAAAAAAATTCATCATAGGAAATTTTTGGATACATGTAAGCAGTCATCTAAGCAAGGGGTTAGTGAAGGTGCCTCGTCCTTACTGCAGCTTTCACTGTATGTCTCATCAGTACCACAGCCCCGTGATGAGCCCTGTGCAGGCAGGCTTTGAGGTGGGTTCAGAGTCATGCTGACTTCAGTGGGCCTCGGTACACGTACAGGCACACACCCACAAAAAAATCACTGTAGTACACAGGTCTTGATTTATTGTCCCATAGTCTTTACTCAGGAATTGCTCGTGGGCATAGTGCATCAACGGAGGATCACACTGGGTTCAGCCCTAAGTGTCTGAGTCTCAACAAGAGACTGGCAATGGCATGTTAATCATGAATGGTTCTGGTTTTTCATTATTATTGTCTACTATTCTATTAGTTCGGTGAGGGAGTGGTTTCAAAATTTAGCTAGGAACACAGAGGACAAACTAACAGAAACATCATTGCAGAGATGAAAATAAATAGCCTTTCTGAAGAAAAAAGAAACTGTTGTCTGTCAGGAGCTGTCAGGAAGCAGCAGTATTTTAGAAAAGCTGGGAAAAATAATATGTTCAGTTCTGAATGTGATACTTCTCACTAAAACTAGATTTTTGGATGGCAAATAAGACTGAAGCGTGTACCATCTAAAGTGAGGGATTTAATTTGCCAACATATTCTGCAACAACTCTGAGCAATCATGTTTGCTGAACACCTCTAAGCTTTCCGGTATTTTTCAACAATCTTTTCAAATGTTAATAAACTTGGTCTGTCCCTGGAGGGGGATATAGGGAGAGAGAGGAGAGACAACTACTGTGAGTGATGAAACTGAAAAAAGGGGGGCAGCTTGGAAAATCCATCTGAGAAACAAACTATACTTCAAAATATAACAGAGATGGGAAAAAAAAAAAAAAAGATGCATATGTAGGTATAGATCTATATAGAAATAGTTCTATTTTAAAAGAGAGAGACACAAATATATGTTCTCCACAATTATTACAAATACAACATACTGTAGAGTAAAAATGCCAAAGGATAAGACTTATAAAATAAATAGGGCAAAATTACTGTATCTATATTCCGTACTATGGAGTGTGAATTTCCAGGTAGAATTTCAGCAGCAGAAATATATTTTTTAATAAGTAAAGTAAAAAATTTGGGGGGAGGGGGCATATTTGGATTAGTCATTCTACTATCTTGTCTCCTGTGATCTTAGTTATTATTCTTCTGAACTTTTCATTCAAATCCTTGACTTTTGCAGAAAGTTCCCAGCACAGATTTCATCCCAGCAGTTCCAGGAGGGGTCAATAGCACAGGAGGTTTCAGTCGTGGGTCCTGAGGGAGAGCCTCCATTCAAAGTGCTGACTATGCTTCAGCACTTCAGTCCAATCTCTAGACTCTCTCAT